GCCTTATTTGTACACAAACTCCTGAACTTCAATAGCCACAGCATTAAAGTCAGTGATTGAGAAGGGTGGAGTATATGACCCTGAGACAGGAGGTCTGGTTGTACTGGAAGAGACCAGGAAACATCTCTGACCAATGACATTAGTTCTGAGCACAAGGTTCTTCTTGACCAATTTTGAGCCAGCAAAAAGGTGGGATTACCTCCAACGTAAACTTCTTGAGGAGATACAAAAGTAGTGGGGGAGGGGGAAACCACATAAAACAGGAACTATGGAGTTCAGGGTATTTGCAAGAGGATACCTTTTCTCAAATGTTCCGATTGTGGCGAGACACCATCATGTTTATGTCTGATGTTCCTCAGTGATCACAAATCCATTTTCTTCAATTGATCGGTTGATAACTTACAGTCTGCCATCCAGTTGTCCAATCAGGTGTAAGAGTGCCAATTTAAGTTTTTCTGCCCAGTGAAAGATTTGAGACACCTCTTGTGCATTAAGCACCAAAACGTCCATCAGTTGTAAATGTAAATGAAATGTACGTAGGTATGTGCAGGCCAGCTTGAATAAGACTACCAATAGCCTCTTTTTTTCTAAAGCATGAACTCTCAGGTAACTCTCAAGCACTCAGAGCAGACAGATCATCACAGATGTAACAGATTCAGGCATGAGGGGCACTTTCAAAACCCAAATAGTATAACTTATCTAGAATTTAAAAATCATATAACGTGGGGAGCCCTCTAAAGTCTAACAGATCTTGTGTTATAACTGTATTCGCTGTAGCTACATCTATCAGAATTCATGTGAGGGTTCTGGGGTGAGTGTCAAGAGTGGTGGCTCAGAGGAAGTCTTTTAGTCACTGTAGAGCAACGCCAGTCACAAGTAAATTTAGAGATTAAGCTGACTCAGGCATAGTGAGTGAAATTTTGTGGAGGTCTGCCAGTTCCTGTCTGGTGACTAGCCCTCTTTCTGGTATAGGACATGCTGCCATTGCTCTTTAAAAAGGTACAAACTGCTAAATACAAAATTTAGCAAGAGAAAATGGTTCTCAAGGCAGGGAAGCAAGTTTGAGGAAAAGACAATAGGCCGTTTTCCTTCAATTTACAGCAGGTGTGCTAAAAGCATTAGCATATATTTTCAATACACTCTGGAAAACAAATCTTAAATGGAAATCTTTTGCCCAACATCCTCCTATCATCTCTCTATGCCCACTACTTCGTGACAAGTAGTGGACAACACAGAAAGCTTTCATTGCATCATGGAAGCAGACCTTATCTCCCCTGCTCACGTATGGCATGATAGAGAGAAAGAGGTGGCACACAAATATTTTAATTCTTCCACATATATCCAAGTGTTAGAGGCGAGGGGGGTACCATTAACAGCAATTATTATTTACAGGCCTTGGCTTTGGCATATTTTCACGTGGAGTACAACTCCCACATGTGCTAGGTGCTGCCATAATAATTACTCAGCAGATTATTTTGTATGGCAGCACCCAGGACATGCATTACCTTGGAAATACAGATGGCACATTGCTACAGAGTAAGTCATAGCAGAAGTCTGTGAAAACTGTCTCCCCGTGACTTACAGGTGAAACTCGAATAATTAGAATATCGTGCAAAGTTCATTTATTTCACTAATGCAACTTAAAAGGTGAAACTAATATATGAGATAGACTCATTACATGCAAAGCAAGATAATTCAAGCCGTGATTTGTCATAATTGTGATGATTATGGCTTACAGCTCATGAAAACCCCAAGAACCCCAAATCCACAACCTCAAAAAAGTAGATTATTACATGCAATCAATAAAACAAGGATTGTACATAGAACAATATCGGACCTCTGAAAAGTACAAGCATGCATATGTACTCAGTACTTGGTTTGGGCCCCTTTTGCAGCACTTACTGCAATTACTTTTGCACGATATTCTAATTATTTGAGTTTCACCTGTATATATATGTGTTATGAGGCCATCTTAAAATCTTTATACTTTAACAACTTCAGGACTGCAATACATATATAAAACAGCGCAGTCCCTAGGTGGTAATACCAAGAACACAGCTGGTGATGCACCTGCCGTTTCCCCCCTGCCCATCCCAGGCTTTGCTGTCCATTGTGCTGGCCTTGGATACCGCCACAGGGGATGTCCGCTGCTGCATTAGAGGGAGATCAGCACACTTCCAGGAACCTAGGAGCACCGAATGTGCAACAAGGATTTTGCCACTTCCATTTTTAACCTTTAATTTCTGCAGCTGCTGTGGCCAAAGAAAAAGGTGAAGCATGATCTGTGCGCTTCAGTGGGGTCCATAGGTGACATTAGGGGTTTACTAGACCCCTGATGTCTCCATAAAGACCTGTCACTTGCTCTTTGCTATCACATAAGGGGCTTGTTATGGCAATAAAGTAAAAAAAAATAATAGAAAACAAAGTAACCCTGTTGCCAGACCATTCATTTCAACACAAGAGTTTAAGTTCAGTTAACACATTTCATACTTGTTATTTAATTGTAAAAGTGTCCCTTGTGTAAACATTCAAAAGCCCTGAGACTACTGTTGCACTGTAATAGACTTACCTGGCCATGCTCCGTTTACAACATCCAGCGCCACTCACTCCAGCGGCGTCACGCTGCTCCTCCACTTTAGCCGTCTCCTAGATTTAGCGGCGGGTTTTCAATTGCTCAGCGTCTTGTTGTTATGAAGCTGAGCACTCACCCGCTCTATGCAACCCTTCTCTCCATCCTGAAGCCTCTAATTGCAGATTACCACCACAAACAATTCATCCATCGCTGCTAACTGCAAGTATATACATCCATACCACTGTCTGCACAAGTATTCACACTAGCTTACTAACACTTCCGTAAGTTGGGAATACTTCTGCACTGTCTGCACAAGTATTCACACAACAATACTAACACTTCACGGTGAAAGCATTTCCCTTCAGAGAAGTTGCTCTGAATTGTTACCAAGATATTTCTATGAAAAGACTTGTGGACTTGTATGTTGTAATACAGATTACTTACCTGTGATTTGTTTTCATGTAAACGCATTATCAGGGTGTATGAAGTAATACCACCCGCTCATCAGTATATGAACTTTAGTTATTTCCCCAGAGACATTATAGACTGTATGAAAGCAATACAGCGGCACAGCAACACATCTTTCAATAATTACTTTTACATGCGTATTTAACCTGCATTCCATCTCTGACTTCACATAGCCACTTTGAATTCCTTGGCACTATCCCCACCGTAGTTGTGATCCATATCAGCTAATGCTATAACAGTTCAGATCGTGACATGCCCTTAGAATGGTGTCACTATCTTGGATGTGATGTCAGCGTTTGGGCTGCAACTATTATTTTCATAATCAATTTGTTGGCCAATTATTTTAAAGATTAAATCGAAGAAAATATAAAAAATGTTTAATTATTATTTCATATTAATAAATATTAGATATATAACACAGCTTACCTTTTTCAGATGCTCTTTCTGTTAACTCCAGGACTGAAAAATACTGCTCATTTCAATCTGGGGGGAGTTTTGTTTCAATTAACCCCATCTTAATTGTGCTGGCAGATTTTCTTACATCATTTAGATAAGCGGGAGTGCCTGTCCTATAAAGGGTTTAAACCCCTGACTAAGATTGACAATTATGACAGTCAGAGTTTCCCGTTACTGAAACTGAAAGAGAAGCTTGCAAAGGCCAGCAACTCAAACACATCTAAAAAGGTAAGAAAAAAAATGTAAAAAAATATATTATATTTTTAGATATACTGTGTGAATAGGAACAAGAACAAAAACATATAGTGGAGGTTTTCTCACTTTTGGCTCCAAAAGTGGAAATACATTTTAGTAGGGAGGTGACGGGAGGGGTGGAGGAGCTGAACAAGTAGAAAGTGTAATAAAACACTCCTAGATGAAGAGAGCAAGGAGGGAGAGACTGTGCTAGGAAATTGACTAGTCACGTTTTCTAGCAAGTTCAAAAGCATACTGCAAGTGAATAGAAAAATACTGCAAGTAAGCTTTTAAAATACATGATTTTTCAATGCTTTTACCTGCAATTTTTTAAGATGGTGACAGGGCCACTTTAAAGTTGGAGTTTTACTTTAAAAACAAACAAACATCGAACACTTGTGCTGGCAAAAACCACTCTAAATGAAACAACCTTCAAATCATCCTGCTCGTTATATTCCTTACTTAATCAGAAGAAGACACAAAAGTGTGAAATTCTTGTAAGTTGAACAAACAAATCCAAACCCCTTGTCAGAGACAAACCTTTGTCAAACTTCTGTGTATCTTAGTAACCAGACTCTGGACATTTTTTTTCCATTTTTACTTATGTAATTGGCATCATTATCACATCCACGTGAACGTGAGGAGGGATCACCCTGTAATATCATTAAAATTATATTGTACAAAAGTATGTGCGTGTATATATA